CATAATGAAATATTTACCATTACAATTACACAAAAATATATCACTGTGAATGAAAATTATTCTAGTTTAATTGCCGCCACACAATTTTCATGTGTATAATATGCTTACGGAGAGCACAGGATATCGGTGTGCGCCCGTGATGGTGACTTTTTTTACATATTTTTTTTTTTTTAGTTATGAGAATACCGCCCTCCTTTTACCCCCCCGTTCAGGGTGTCCCGCATTTCACCTGCCGGAAGGTGGTCACCCAATACTTAGGACGTCAGAGCGAGGTGGGTGACAATTAACGCACCGTCGGAGCACACTTTTCCCGTGCAAAGCACTTACGTGGTTCACTACTTCGCTCCGATTGGATCACGCGGCTCGTGGCATTCACCTTTATTTGCCAAGGTGTGCTGGAGCGGACAAAAACCTTAAGTAAACCTCTCAGAAGTAGCCGTTCCGCCTGCACCTTCGTCAGTGTTTCGAGCGGTGTTTCGGCGATTGGTAAGAGAAGTATACAGCGTTAAGAGCTCAGGGGAAGCTCCTCCCATATCTCTTTCCACTTTAGCAGAATGAACGCTGGAGAGGAGGTGACTTCATCTCCAGCGCTCGCTCTGCTAAAGTGAAAAGAGCTGGGAGGAGCTTCCCCTGAAATCTTCGCCTGCCAGCGATTTAGGTCCGCGATGCCCTCAAGAATAAGAGATATATTTGCCGGGAATATTAATGGCGAGAACCTGTTGCGTGCCGAAGGCACGAGCATGTGGGAAAGAATATGGGCCTTCCTGCGCGTTCGCGTCTCACGTGCCTCGACGTATCTTCGTTTATCTATTCATGCCTACGTTGGCGTGTATGAATGTATACCGGTTTGCAGGCAAGTAAATGTGTGTTCGCCAGATATGCTCTTCTTTCTGATCACGTTTGCCTACGTGGGTGTGCGTTTGCATTTGATTGTGATTTTGCATAATCACATAGCGTTTAGTGAACCAGAAGAAAACAAGTGCACGCAGGTTGAAAACAAAAAAAGCCTGGTTTTCGCAACGAAAATTTTAAAATGTAGTGGACTATTTCTTACCTCGCTTCCTTCGAAAGCTCCCCGCCTTTTCACTGCGATGCATCCGCGGCGCCTAAGCTCGTCAGCCGAACCTGCAGCTCACGCACTGGGCACGATCATCGCGTCACTCGGCGAATCCAATATTCGTCATTCGACGAATATTGGATTCGCATTCGTGGCCAATGAGTGAGTGTGGACATTTCATTTATCAAAAGAAAGAAAAGAAAGGGGGAGTGCCGGTGATGGCACTTGCTGCACCACTCGGGAATGACACGTTCCACGGTGTGCTCAAAAAGCACGGTGGAAGCGTGGAGTCCTCGGTTCCGGTGAAATACTACGTCACGACCACGTGATTCCCCATTTCGATTTTTTTTTTGTTAAGGAGGAAAGCTAAGGAGAAAGAAGTTAAAAATCATTTCATGGTCCCTTTAATGCTCGAAGTTAGGACGGAATCACGGTATGCCATTCGGCTTTCTCGGCGTCAACAATCTTGTGCTGCATAGTCAAGGACGACGCAGCTTCCGCAGTGCTCTAACGCCGTCAAAGTTACTAGGCGAGCGCGTCACTTTGTTCACTGTTTTTCTCGCACGAGAGCGCGTGAGAATGAGACGCAAGACGAAGCGACATCCTCTCGCAGCAGTGATGGGTTACAGCACTGCGGAAGCGACGTTATCCTGACAACGTAACAAAAAATAATTGACGCAAAGAAAATCTTTTTACGGTTACTTCGCACTTTGGTGCAAAATAACTATAAAATATGTCTTCCCGAAGCCGGCCATATGACCAGGAGATCCTTCTTGCAAAAATTTTAGCCGCCGGGAGAGATAACCGCATTCACCAACAAAGCACCCCTCTATTGACGTTCAACCAACATCTCGGTTACACCGCGTCTTCTCCGCAATGTGGAGCTCAAGTTCGTCTGAATCTTTTGCTAGAGTTGTGGTGACGTCAGAACGCCGAGCTCCGATTGGCTCTGATTGAAGGATAGGGGGTAGACCTCGAAGCAAGCTGCCTTGAGGTCTACCCACTATCCTTCAATAAGAGTCAGTCAGAGCTCGGCATTCCGACATCACCACAACTCTCGCAAAAGAAGCAGACGACTTCCGTTCCGCACGAGCATCCGTCAGATAGACCCGCGAACTCGGTGAACGCTCTTGCTTACACACTGTGACAGATGGCGTATAAAAGCTGCACGTCCCCGGTACTCTCGGCAACTCGCAGCTCCCGCTCGCCGCCAAACTACAGGGAAGCTCGCGACAGACACCGGCCCCAGAAGTCGGATCGGGGTCTGCACTCGCCGACGGTCGTCGCATGATTCAGCGACAAAGACGGACAGCCGAAGTCCGCTCCACGGCCGCCGTTGCGGCGTCGCTTGGCAGGCCACGCGAACTCTGCGCTGCCGTGCTGGAGCCATAGTGCTTCCTGGTCGTCGAGGAAAGGGAGGAGGGGGAGCGCGTGGCCCGTCCATGCTCCGCCGCCCGATAACCGGGAATCGCCGACGAATGCAAATGACGTAAGTAGGCCCCAGTCGGCTGTTTCTTCTTATTCGGTGGGAGGGCTGCGTGCGGGGCCCGACTGCAAACGGAGGCCCACGAGTCAATGTGGGCTTCCTTTGTGACGGCCTTGTCCGACTTGGCCATTCCTGCGAGTCGGAATCCGCTGGGACTGGGACGTATGGAGTACAATGCGTATGCCAAACGGCCCAAAGCTCGCGCTGTGCGACGCCTATACGGGTTTTCGAGGCCTGCGTAGAGGTAAGGGACAGCGACTAAGGTGCGTGCTTCACGCAGACCTGATAAGAATAGCGGCGGCTGTCTGTCTTTTCACAAACAAATTTCTTTGTAAATGTTTTTTTCCCTGTCGCAAGAAAGTCACGTTAGGCTCGGCAGAACCAGTTTACAACGAGAATCCTGCATGTACCCTAGTAAACAATTAATGGCACTGTGGGAAACACCCAGTGTAGGATATATAGTGATTCGGATCACATGATACGCTGCTTTGTAACGGGTATTCAGAACGAACAATGGCGAGGTTAAACCCACACGGAAACAGGCGCACTTATTATTTAACGAAAAAATCACTCTTGGAAAAAGCGGGTGTCTTGGTTTATAGACACACCGAGAATGTCCGATGAATTTCAATGTCACTCAACTTAAGAGGAAATTTGAACACGGCAAGGATAATGCAAACAACGCAGCTTGGAGAAATGGTAGACCCAGGTGCTGTTCATCTCGCAGCCTAACCACGCTTGGTCTGGTAATAAAGCATTAACATGAGCATATTAAAATTTGATGAGCTGCTACATCTTTTAGCTAGCATATATGAATCTAAGATTCCTGGATTTAGTAAGACCAGGCTAGACTTCAAGATTTTGGGTGGTTTGGTGCACTGCACATTAAACAGTCTGAAGTAACGTACTTTAGCATGGCGTGCACTGACGTGACGTCAACGGCCATTCTGGTGCCCTTGCTGCTGAGCGCGTATACCGTCTGCAGCACGCATTTTGCACACCGAATTTGTTCTTCTCGTCCAGGAACAACCTGGTATGACCACCGGCACAATGCGATCACATCACGTGAAGCCATGCATACAAACGAACCGAAATGTTGCATTCCAAGATGGCCGATGGCCGTTTTCGGAACGGATATACGTTAGCAAGCAGCCTAACGACCTGACCACGTGCTTTGTTTCCTACAGTCGTCGATCGACAAGCCGCTTCTTAGTCCAGTGCACGACTCTGCTCCCGGTACCAAAGGCGGTCGACCGCGGCCAGCCGCGAGCAAGCCATTACGACGTCGTCGGTCGGCCGCGAGACGCTCGCTGCCCCTACGCGAACGAGGAAAAGGAACTCGGGCCATTCTTCCACGGCATCTCTGCTGCGGGCGCCTGTGGCCGCCTCAGAAGGGGGATTACGTCATCCGGGCGGGCAGTGTCCGTTATTGTTTCCGGAGCCCTAAGCGAGTTCTGCTGGCTTCGGCCCCCACCGGCGGACAGAGGGGCTCATACGGCAGGCCGGACGCCCCAAGGCTAATGGTTTATTGTGCCGAGATTATCGCTGACGGCGACACTCAATCGGATCGCTTGCGGCCGAAGTGGCCATTGGCGCCTCTACCCTGGAGGTCCGCGGTGCCTTCGTGGGACATCAGTACGACGATACAAAGGGATCGTTTCGGACGGTGTAGATTGAAATAACACTTCAGGTGTAATAGAGTATGTTCACTCGGGGAGTGGCCAAACAGAAAGGAAAAGGTAACTTTCTTTCGGGTGATAGACGAACAAGACAACGGCGATAAGTTTGGATGGTATTTCTCGAGACGACGTGCGGGCCTCGTCCCATTTCATTACGCTCCAGACCGAGGAAGGCTAAAGAAGGAGCCGACTTTACATAACAATACCGTATCCGATAGTCCACGATGCCAGTTGCCAACTGTCAACAATACATACTTCCTCTCCAATAGTGTGCGGATGCAGGAACGGACGATACAAATCGCATTCGAGACAACCTCGACTTGCCACAAGTCTTCCTGTTTGTGCCTGAGTTCGTAACCTTGATAAGGCCTTCGTTGACCCAACCTTTGTTTCCTACCCGGTTTTGTTTCGAAACTGCAGATACTGCATTCTTTGTCGGCTTGAGAACCGCAGGGCGCGACAGAGTCCAGGTCATCTCATTACCGCTCCACAGCCAATGAGACAGCGGCCTTAACCGATAAGAAAGCCGAAGAACCAATCAAGAAGCAGAAAGAGACTAAGCCACGCCCTGCGTTTCGTAAGCCGTCGGTGGCTGTAATACCTCGAAGGTCATTCGTTCCCTTTTGTTAATTTCACGAATAACATAGGCTTGACTTTTGAGTCTAAAAGGAGCTGTTATTCAACTAAAGAAGAATGTGCATTGAATCCGTGTCGAGCACTTTTTTGCGCCGCTATAAAAGTACGTAAAAACACAACCACAAATGCGCGCAGAACCGTATCTAAATATATATATTTTTTATTTTATTACTAGCGTCCTTTTTACAAGAGATAAAAATGGCGGCACTCCACGAACCACCCTCTAAAACCGCGGGACAATTTAAATTAGGAGTCCTTAAAAAAGCATTTCCAGAAGCCTTGCTTCGGGAGTGGTACAGCATGGCTTCCAGTGGACGTTAGCCGGCAGTGGCATCTTTCGCTGGCGTTTGCCGTTTTCTTTCAGCTTGGACATCCATTAAAATACGCTTAGAGAAAAAAGAAGGGGCCTCCGGAAACGTTAGCGGTGGCCTCGAACATTCACGCTCCTCTTTTCTGGCGACTCGTTCGTACAAGTGGTCGGGGAACGAGAACCAGGATGCTGACAGAGTTCATAGCTGCCGCAAACTCAGGCTGGCGAGTCTCCAGGAGGCTCACGCCCGTCCTTTCGTTTGTACGTACTTCGTAACGTCCTCGCTTCGGCAAGAGGACGACGGGTACCGATGTCTCAGCTGATGTGGCACAACTCTCGCTTCCCATGTCCGGACGCACAGGCGCACAAACTCAGAAGGGCAGAGCCCTTCGTGCGGGCTCGACGAAGCTGTGTCTGTAGTCCCTGGGCCTCCTCTGGACGTGCCTCAGTGGCTCCTGGACTACCCTCGGCTCCAAAGCAGACGGCTGGGGCAGTCTCTGCGCCGGCTGCGCGTGACGTAGCTGGGCCGGATGACCTTGCTGATGAGGTGCCTGCCGATGTCCGTGGCTCGCTGGGAAGGAGACCGGTCTGCTCCTCCGGTGGGACCACTCTTCGTCCGAGGAGGAGTCCAGTTCCCTGGGAAGCAACTCGTCGGAGCCTATGCCGCTGCTCGACTTGGAGCCGCCTTCCTTGAGCAGGCGCGGGGCTCCCTGCCTCTTGCACATCGTGCCGTAGTCCTTGGGCGGCAGCAGCAGCGGCCCGCGCTCCGGGTTGCTCAGCTTCTCACGGAGCTCGGCGGCCAGGGACGCGTAGAGGCTGGCCATCCGGTCGCTGGAGCAGGGCGCCGCTCCGGGGGTCACCGGAGCGGGAGGACGCCGAGGTCCCGCGGAGTCCTCGGAGTCGGAGCGGTCTTCGGAGCCGTCTTCGGTGCGTCCGTCCGAGGGCATCCTGGGCGGCGGCTCTCGGAGAAGCCCCTTGACGGCGAGGCGATTCTCGATCTCGCGGAACTTGGCCTGGTTCTCGGGCTTGTCCGCGAGCTGCTGGAGCTGGAGGCGCAGCATGGTGGCGGTCTCAGCCGAGTCGCACCGGTAGACGTGCACATGGACGGGACATCGGGTGGCCGGGTTGTAGAGAAGCAGGATGCAGCAGACCAGATCGCCGTCTTGGTGGGCGCACGTGACGGCGTGTTGCGGGATTAGGTGCTTGACTTGCTCCATCTTGCCTCTGACGCCCCTCGCGATGTTCTGGACCATCTTGATGCCCTTGCCGCTTACCTGGACGCGAGAAGCGAGCATCAGTCGGCTCATGAATATTTCATCAAAGGGAATTTATGCTCATAAATATTTAATCAAGGGACATGTGTTTCATCCTCCGATGAAAGACGTGTCTGTGTCACCAGAATTTAGTTCGTTGTATATATTTTTTGATCGCCGGCTGTCTGTATCGGGTACGAGAAGAAGTGGCACCACCCTAAGAAGGGCAGTGACGCAGTCATGAATTTTTAAAGTATATGGTATTGAGAACTACTAATAATGGCCATTGTTGCCGAGCGCGTGGCAGTGGTGAGTTTCCGTAAACCTTCGGAATGCGCATTCTACGTTGCGGCTTTTAGATGTATTCAAATGTGGTGTCCACCCGATTAACTATTTCCCAGAACAAGTACTCGATCCTTATCTTATGCAAGATGCCTTCCTTACCTGGAGGGTGACCTTGGGAGGCTCGATCTCACGCTCCCGCTCGAGCAGGAACCTGAGCACGGGGCCGATGTACTCGGGTCCCCTGAGCCCCCGGGACTCCTTGGCGCCCAGGAACCAGACGTAGTACGACTGCTTCTTCATGTCTCTGGCGCCGCGCCGGAACGCCATCCTCGCCGAGCCTCAGGAAGTCGGGACCTTCAGGGCCGCATAGGGACCCGTGCGACGTCCGGTTCTTCCAGGCACCGATGCAGAGGGGAGCCCTGATTTGGCCCCGTCCCGCCTGCGATGTGGAGAAAGAAAGGAAGATTTAAAAAGGGGTTCCTCCTGCTTTTGCCTTGATTTTGAAAGGTCCGGCTCTACAGGTAACACAATGGACAATACACAAAGACGCGTATTGCCGCTGGAGAATTATTATTAATTATTCACAGTGTGTACATATGCTTGAAAACAAACGTCTGAAAAAAGTTTAAAAAAAATGTTGGCTTTGCCAAGGTTGGTTTTGTTTTGTCCACGAAAAAAAAAAAAAAACCCGGGATTTCTCACGCTTGTGGGCGTCTATACTCGCTTACAAACACGCAGTTTAAAAACAAGCCCGCGTTTGCCCACACCCAACGTGGGCACTGCGCGTGCGCAGTGCCCAGATGCGCAGTGCTGACCGCGGCACCATCGCAGTGTCGTGACGTCATAGAGTTGAGTTGGGGCAAGCTACATTGTACCAGGCCCCTGAGGATACAAGGTAACCCCTGAGGATACGAGACATTATTTATTTATTTATTCAAAATACTTCAAAGGCCTTTCGGCATTACATGAGACGGGGGCCATACAGTTCGATAAAAACATCAACCAAAAAGTACGGCACATACCGCACTGCATATTGACATCAGTACAATATCGCAGATATTGTACTGATGTCATATGTCGTTAGCATATGTCGTTTGAGATTGTGTACTGTTTCATGTATTTTCCCCCCCTCTTTTTAACTTTTTATGTGCCACGACATTGTAACCAAGAGGTTCTGGGGCATGATACAAATAAAGGATTATTATTATTATTATCAGTTTAAGTCATAGTTATTGCAGAAGTAGGTATTATGCCAAACACGTCAGCTTAGAAACGAAACAAACACATGTAAACACGGACGTACAATATTCAGTTAATATTTAGTCAAAAAAACACAATCAGCTGGCTTTCACCTACGCGAAATGAATGGTTAAAATATCTGACCCTTTTATTTATGCTAAAACAATGGTTGTTCTGTCTGACCGAAAAAGGCTTATAATCAGAAATATACACTATGGCTTCGGGAAGATCGTTCCAGAGTTTGATGGTAAGTGGTAAGGCAGGATTATTGAATATCAATGTTGCCCCAAAAATACGCTTGGAGCTCTTAGTGTTAAAGATCCATGATTCCTTATTAAGTGGTTCCAGAAGAGACCAGTAAGTTCCACCGGGGTCATAGCATAGCGGTAGCCTGTGGATTAAGCATGGAAGAGAAACTGTACGGCACGTATCCAGCAAGGAAATCGAATAGTTTTTGTTTTAATAATGGTATGGTGTCGAAACGCGAGCATGATGATGAAATAAAACTTGGTTGTGAAGTGCACGGGGCTTGGCCTTGCCCTCCCTGAAGGGGTAACAGATTTTGCCGAGGTCCTGAGTTTTGCTGGTAAGGATAAAAGGTCGGAAGAGAAAAAGATTACAGACACAAAGAGGCTATCAGAAGATTGGTGGAAATTATCTAGGGAAAATTGAATGACGCAGAACTAACTAGCACAGCTGGGGACAGGCGGGACAGAGGAAAATTGGGACTCTCTCCCGCGTGGCTCCGGCCCAAAGTCTCAACCCTGACCCCCAGTGGGTCCTGTGCTGGGGTAACGCCGACAAGGTTTGACCAGAGGAAAATTGGTAACGCCCTTGCCGGGGGAAGAGGTGACGTTTTTAGTTTTTTTTTTTATTTGCCCGATCCCCCAAAGGCGATAAAAGGCAGGCAAATGATTGGTCTGGCGAGAACGATGCTTCCAGCACCTCGCTTAGAGTAGCCATTGACAACAACACAATTAAGGAACGCAGCGCGGTGCCTATTACACGCACGCTTCTTGCATCATAATTATTTCTCGATCGTTAGCGATTTAATTGAACGTGGAGCGGTATAGGATGCTCACCTCGGCATTCGCCACGCTCTGTATTTCTTTAAGCTTTCAGTTTCTTGATTAAAAATATACGTTTCCCTCGGTTTTCTCGCAGTGAGAGTATAAATTTCTGTGTAGCCGTTCTACAGTATACTAAGTTAAATCCGCGGCCTATTCAAATATAAACAATTTTGATAAGGGTGTTACAAGTGCGACATGTTTAGCAGATATGCCACGTGCATCATGGAGCATACAGCAGGGTTCCGCGTTTGTGGTATACCGATATAAACGTGAAATTAACCCCCGAAAAAGTTTTCTCTAAATTAGTGAGAAACACACACACACACACACACACACACACACACACACACACACACACACACGCACGCACACACACACACTTAAAATGTCTTAAAAAAAACCAGATAAAAACGCCAGTTTTACGGAACGCAATCTTTCATCCAACGTTATTTTTCTCGCTGACCCGGAACACAGCCGCACTGAATTGTCCTTAGGGTTGTTCCTTTCTAACGAAACCGAATTCCTCGTCCCGTTCCGTTCTTCATCTTACCGGTATTACTGGACATAATAATATGATTTATAACCTAATATAATGATATAATTAACTTTTCTTCAGTAATAATACAGTCGCTTTACTCCAAAAACCCTATAAACACGGATTTTTCTTTACCATTGAAATTAAATACCAAAAAACACTGATTCAAAAGGAAATAAACACCGAAAAATAACACAAGGCTTATTTCGTGGCTGCATACATGAAGACTGCCCTGAAAGTGCCTCTCCATCTTAAAAACAGCGATCGTAGATCTTCACGCCTCGTGCAATTTTACGTGCCTTCAAGTACGCTGCCAGATTATCGAACCAAAATAACTACGATTTCATCGAGGAATTAATTCGAGAGGTTCAGATTTTGATACGCACATTTTCGTTTCGTCACTCGACGAAACCTGCGACGTAACGGATACTACAGCAGCTAATCGTGGCGTCACTCCTTTTTCAGTTTCACTCCTTACCAACCCTTCACCGATGCCTTACGCCAGTGGTTCTCAAATGGGGGTCCGCGAAGGCATTCTGGAGGTCTGTGAAGCCCTGCCTCATCAGTTAAGTCCGGCAATATAAGTTGTATATTTTTTCAGATTTAGAAGAAATGTTCCAAGTTACGGGTGCGTTTTTTTCGTGTGTATGTCAATGAGAGAAGTCTACTTCACACTAGCCCTTAGTTATATCCCCTTATTAATTCATTATCATACTTAACCTATACCTTTTTCCTTCCTCTCACCACGAACGGGGTCCTCCATCATCTCCGCCACTCCATAAGGGGTCCGCGAAACATCAATGATAGAGAACCACTGCCTGACGCTCACGGCAAGAGCGAGACGCGAAGGGAAGACAAAGACTTTTGATCGACCAATCTTACCAACACCGAGCCTAGATACGCCCCTCTCAGAACCTCGTTCCCGCCTATAGGTGGGCAGGCCTGTTCGCTACTCAGTGCAAGTAACCAAACTACTTGTAATCGATTAGTTTAATTTTTTTTTTATTATTTGCATATATTTATTAGCGAGTGATGGTAAGAGTAATTTGGCTACTTTTAGAAGTATACAAAATCCCATGGTTACCGTTATTATTTTCTCTTTGCTTCCTAATGGCGCCCTTTGTAGAAGTTTCCAACATTAGGACTCCCATTGTAGGCTGGATAACGACACGCTGGTACACGTTGGCGCTGTCGTCGGTGCGGCGCTTCCGCGGACCCTTCATTTCACGCCAATTCGGTTTCTGCGCAAGCGCACTGCTCTCACTGGCGTGGGCAAACACGGACTTGTTGCGAACATTGCTTAGAGAAGTTAACGAAATATAAATGTGAAAAATACAACATCCAACAAAAGCGTGCATACATGACGAATCGCTTTATTGGCATCAAATTGCGTTATTTACGCTCAGTTCCGTTTCGCTTGATACGATAGGGGTTGAAGGATGCTGGTGATAATAATGGTCATGACGGTGATGTGCGGTGAAAAACTGTGTCCTCGTTTTCACTTAAAAATATATTTAAAAAAAAATTAGATTTATTTGACGGAAATGCGATAGATTCAAAACGCGTTGCCTCGTCTTTTTTCCGCCGTCGCTCTTGGATAGGGTCAGTCAACTCGTGGAAAGAACCACATCCATCGCCGGAGCGGCAGCTAAGCTGGGCCGCCTGCTCGTCTCTGGTTCCGCGCCAGCTGTGCAACGCTCGTATTGGTTCGAAGGGCTGACGTCAACACGCGTCACCCCCATCCCTCTCTCCCCGCCGCCGTGGTGATACATTCGGGAGTTTTCGTAGATCGTTTCTTCCGTCCCGCAACGCTCTCCGATATCCGCTACGATATCTCCGGAACTCTGCGGTCAAGGCCAAAGTCGCGCATGCGAACTAGCGGCGTCTTCGTTGCGGAAAGCGTAGCGCTTTGTGCACTTAAGATCGCTTATTCATTATTTCATCAAAGCGTACTCGTTTCAGACGCGCAAAGCTAGCGTCGTTTATTTTTTGACGACTAAAGTCTCGTAAGAATTACTTCGGGCAACGTATAAATCACGTCTTAAAACTTGTTGTTTTTCTGGAGGTCAGAACGGGTAGATGGTTGGTTATTTTTCGAGTTGTCACTCGGCGTCTTGTCATGTAGGCTTCCGCGAGAACAGTTCAGGAACCTGCACACAGAAGGACCTTCCAAGGTAACATAGCGAAGTGTCCGAGAAAAACAAAAACAAAAAACAACAAGAAAACTAATGACACCGAGAGGAGCGCTATCGCGGCAGCATACGACGGCATTTCCCGCGTGTTTTTTCTCGGTTCAGGAATTCGCAAGGTCGTTGAAATCGCGCTTTGGCAGATCCCCCATCGCGAGGTGAGGGAACGCGGCCTCGTTAGAGAAACTCGTGTGTTGTGTATATGTGTACATCCGTATGCATGTCTGCATACTCAACAACACACTCGGAGCCTTTCTTCTGGTTTTTCCCTTTCCCTTTCTCTCTCTCTCTCTCTCTCTCTATATATATATATATATATATATACTAGTATATATAATATATCCCTGTCCCATTCCGTCAAAAAAAAAAAATAAAAAATACAGCGTATATTTTTACCGCAAAAATA